CCCCAAAACCCCAAAACCCCAAAACCCCAAAACCCCGATAAAGACTAGACATATTGCGAAAACAATAAATTAAAAATATGGGAAATAACTCGAGCAAAGAAGAATCTAGGGAAATCTCAACGGAAGGATCAAAAGAAACTCAACAGGAAAGCCAAAAGGAGACCCCAATGGAGCGGCCAGTGATCAATATTGATACTTCAGGCATGAATGAGGAAGAGAAGCAATCGGCAATATTTTATAAAAACCAGATGATCGACATATTTTGAGAGATTGTATCAAAAACTGTAGAAAAAGAAATATCTCAGAAAAACATTTCTTCTTGCACAAGTGTACTAGATTTTCGCTTTAGGGAGCTTATTTGATGCAATGTTGAACTGAAAACTAGACAGTCGAGATGTGAAGCAGTTTGGAAAATCCTTGAGGAGAAATATGTTGACCCTGAAGGAAACAAATTATTCCCATTGTATTATTCTTTAAATACTTCTCTTAAGAAAGAAAGCATGATCAACATAGCAATTAAGCAGAATTTATCCTGCCTCATTCTCAAGATGATTGAAGAACATCCTCAAGAAATGGTTCAGGTGTACAATTCGAATAAAACTTCATCAATGTTGCATGACTTAGCGTCAATAAGCACATTATTCACACAAGATGAAATAAAACTTGCAGAGTGGCTAATAAGACATACATACAAATGCTCTAGAAATATATTCGGGCAGACATTTCTTGAGACTGCAATTATAAATTATTCACCTAACTTTGACTTCCTGGCTAAACTTGCTTATAAAACAAATACCAAATGGCTGATGATCAAAGTCTTAGAGAAGTCTTCACTTCGCAAGAATCTCTACAGTAACGTCTTAAGGCACTATAAGACAGAGAAGCTTATCAAAAAGAGCTATTATGACCTGAAGACAAAGCATTTACGTGTATATCAGGCCTGATCTTGGGCTGATAAGGAATTCAAAGGTACAGATTCATTACTGGTATATCACACTCAGTTTTAATCCATACTAATATTCTTATCCAAATTCATTAAAATTTAAAGTGTTCACATATTTTCTTTGTTGGCTGAGCAGAACCAAATTAGGTAACAAACTTTAACTTTAGTTAGAGAGAATTCACTGAGTTCAATCAGATTTTGGACAGTTTTAATCTTAGTTTCAATCTTACATTGGTGCTGGGGTTTTGGGGTTTTGGGGTTTTGGGGTTTTGGGGTTTTGGGG